AAATAGGGAAGTTTGACGGAGACATATAATGTGGGGCAAGGGGTGCTGAAGTCTCTACAAATGCCAACGCGGCGGAGTTCAACGAAAAGTTCGCCTATAACTTCCACTTGTGGTCAGTATATGTACATTTGCTACTTATTTAGTTTCGGTAGGTTGAAAGGATTAGACTTCGACGGCTGTGGTTCTGGGTAAGTTGAGGCTACCAAAAGGTGCGGTCAGGGATATCTGGTCAAATATAACCATAAATGAACTAAATTCCAATGCGTTTACTAGTCAAAAAGAGAGAACGATGGAAGTTTCTATATGTATTATGTACACGAAGCAGGTTGCTCTGGTGAACTGGTAGGCCTAGGTGTGCTAGAGCGTGTGAACGTTTGGCTCGTGAGCTTAACCAGGGACACTTGCTTCGACACAATTTTCGCCTTTATCTCGTAAACCACTAAAGAGGTAGATTAGAGTTAGCTAGTGGGGTCGAAAGTAAGCCCCGAGGCCTAATGGGACATGTATGTTCCGTAAGACCACCGATGAGCGTCCATCTACAATTTTTTATTGCCACTGGGACCATATGAGTTTAAGCAACCAGAATATGACCCTTACGTTACCCTTCTTCATAAGAACCGTGTCTAAAAGCTTGCTTGCTGAAAACGATCTTCGTAAGAAGTTCTGCATAACAAGAACTACAGTCTCCTAAAGCTTCCTACTGGTGAAAAACATGGTCACTATCTGAAATAAAATGCGTTTTATTGTCCCAATTTTAAAAGAATGACTCACGAGTGCCTCGGGCAACTGGTCTCTATTAACCAGACTTCCTGTCATGCATTTACCTGTTATGCGTCAAACCATGGTACATTTTAGAGCAAGAAAATAAAGAAAAGAAAAAGAAGAAGGCTCTTCTTTCACTAGAAGCATTGATTATATAATGAAAGGGCCTCCTAGGCCTTAAATATACAATTAAGTACTTATTTATTCATCTGAGTTTTTGAACTCTTACGGAGTCCATCGTCAGGGATAAAAGCGGCAATGAAACAAACAACAGTTATAGGTTTAAGGGCCAATCAAACATCAGTAACGACATTCCGGAGTTGACAGCCCTGGGCTCTGTATGCCGGCGCAAGATAGATAGATCGAGAAAATTTCAGATAGATGAAAACATTCTTCCAACGACCAAATATACTTCGTCGTCGTCTTCTTCTTCTTCACTTATACACACATCTGAAATTCGAACTTCCGTTTCTAATTCACAAAAGGTAAAAACCCCCTGCTTGGTTTACGTTATTTCCTTGAACTAAGGCTTAACAAGCAAGGGATTATGCTCATTTGGAGAACAATTAGATGGCGAAAAGGCAGAAAATAGAATGTGATATCATTGTCAACAAGCCCTGTTTCTGTCGATCCAGAGAAAACCCGATATTTGACCTGTTGACAGGTCATATAATAAGCAGGCAAAGAAAGATTCCATGTTAGAATAATCAGGCTTTGCTGGGCTATCGCTTAGAGGTGCCGCCATGTACGTAGGATCGTTCCTCCACAGATGTACATCTGATCAATGATAACCTTTCGCATCTCAAGAAACACAACTCAAAATGAGGAGTTAACTGTAGGTCAGTGGGCACAGGAGACTAAAGTTCAGTTGTCATACAGCCTTGCAGACTAGATATGTGGACAAGTGAGCTTACAGTGTTCGCTACAGAGAATAACTAGTTGCGTATACAGCAGAATTTAATGGAACCATAAATTTCGCGAGTGCTCATCAGCTGCGTCCTCTCGCCGCATAAAGTGAGTAACGAATGACAGAATACAACAACTGAATTTATACAGAAGAGTTCATAGGAACAGGTCAGGAAGGTCAATTAGTAAATTTGGCTAATTAGTCTACTTAGCAACGTAAGTAAGTTAAGCACTGTGGACAGTGAGATAGGAGAAAAAGACGTTAAAGCAATAATGCGGGCAGGGGGATGTGTGAATCAGGGAGCCGGATGTTACCATGGCAAAGCAAGGTTCACAACATGCTCCAGCTGTTTACATAGGCCGGGTTTTGACCGTCGTATAGAGGCTGCCTCCAGGTGGCACAATGTACGAGTTGTTCGTGCCCGAACAAGTACTCGGAAGGATGTTTTGGGTCTACAGAATGGCCCGTATCCAATAGGTGTTCAGTGGTTGAAGAACGGGGAGTCCTATTCTTCTGTTTTAATAGCCAACTCGGCAAGTGCTCTTTAGCTCTGGCTGCCAATTGCTGTTGTGTTCGCCCTATGTACTTGCATCCGCAAG